CTATTTATAAGCTCCTCAGAGCTTATATGTTTTATATGTGTGTAGATGTTTGATGCGGCTGTGTATGGTTTATAGGGATATGCATGTTTTATATGGATGTATATGGGTTTGGATCAGACTTCCAGTGGGTGCCTTCACCCTGGGGTGGGTACCTGGGGGACCCCACTTGCCATCCATTCTGCCTCGGTGAGCTGTCATGGCCAGGGATCCGTGTCCAGCTGGTCCCTCATGGGGACAAGTCTCACCCCTGATTTTCGGCTCAGCTTAATCAGGTGTCACTAAATCCTCCTGGAACACAGAGCCGATGCTTCAGGACACCGTCAGGGCCGTGAAACGCTGGGGAACCCCATTCCAACGGGGACAGTCTCCATGTCCCTGCAGGGCTGCTCACGTCCTCCTTGCACAGGGGACAAGCTGTGATCCTGGGAAGGATAGAGAGAGCCCAAAGTGCAGTCACTCCTGCACCTCCATGTGCTGAGCAACCCCGAGGAGCTCTTGGCATCCATACCCAGCCCCAGTGCCTGTGCAGGGAGTGTGAGAGGTGCCCGGCCTCGGAGCTCTCTGCAAGGACAGACAGACTGTCTGCAGAAAGGGAATTCTCTTCATGGGAAAAATATAATTAATTTTAAAATATATTTAAAAAATCAGGATTAGCTAGAAACTTGAACCACGTGGCGAAGAGATTCATTTCCCGTCCTGGCGCCCAGGGGAGCTCCCGGCAGCAGCCGTGCCCTCCAGCTGTGTCCGTGTGTCTGTCTTCCCCGCACCCGCACTCTTCTGTTTCGGGGCAGCGTAAAGAGAGCGCAAAAAAAGGCAGCAGAAAAGACCCCTGCTCGGGGAGGAAGGCATCTAAAGTACCCTCGAGGCCTTTAACCCTGGGTTAATTAAAAACCAGAAGAAAAAGGAGACGGAACTGGAAGTTGCACCAGCCGGGAATCGAACCCGGGTCGCAAGAATGGGAATCTTGCATGATACCACTACACCACTGGTGCGCTGCCGCGTATCCCTCCGCGCGTGAGAAGGCCAGGCGGCCCCGGCCCCCCCCCGAGGGGGCGACGCGGCGGGAGCGG